TGTGGTTTTTGGCAGTCAAAAATAAAATCTGATTTTCATGCAAAAGGAAAAGCTCATCATCAATGAAAATGTATGGCAGAAAATCTCTTTATATATTAAAGCACTGTTTTCCGCCATTTCTAGATCTAGATCTAACAATTTTTATATAAATCTATTCTAGGATAACAGCCTGACAGCATTGTAGATAAAATGATTTTCCTAATCCTTTGACTTCTAAATCACAAATCAATCTACATTTGCAATCATTCAAGTGTTCTACAAAGCAGGACATGAAAAGACCAGGCTCCATACAAACTGAGGTGCTGAGTTTTAAATCTGCTCCATTGATTTGCCATAATCTTCACTGAGGTCCACTGTTCCTAATATTCTTCAGCAACCCTAGTGCCTCAAATCCTTTTTACTCTGTTTCCCATGAAAATTTATTCTTTAAGAGAAAAGAATTATTAAAATGTACTAACAATTACTTCAATTCCTGGGGAAATTAATCTAACATAAAACATCATATGCAAATATCAGCAAAAAATTAAGTTTTAGTCAAAGCAATGATAAGCTAATGAGAAATTAAAGACATCTAAAAGTGAAAGTAAAGTACTTTTTATTTTTCTTTTGTAAAATCACAGTAGAGAAAACTTGAATACAGTGATTCACAAGGACAATTAGTTAATATTGATGTTGCAGTCCCACTCATCATCTGAAAATTGTACACACATTTTTCATGGAACAAATTATTAAGGGAGTAGAGACACTTTCCCCAATGTGACTGTTAAAGAATATTCTCTCCATATGAAAGACGGAAATCAATATTTTTCCAATTAATAAAATATTAACTTCATTTTATCTAAGTAACGTCTGAGAAATGCTGAACATACGTTTGATTTTATTAAATTCCCTGTGTGGATTTGATTTTATTGCATTTTATTTAATTGCATTTAGACAATATGAATTTTTTCCCTGCCTCTGCTAAGTAGCAACACAAGAAAAGTCTTTAGCAGTTTTGTAAAATGAGGGAGTTGGATTGATGAGAGAACACTTAACTTTACTCATTCTGAAGTCTCTTGTTGGCTCTTTTAATTCAGGACACACTCCATTGGTACAGTGAACAATTGCAGTCATGTTTGTCCCAGTTAAATTGGAGCATGCAATCTTTCTTAAACAGAAAGTCAGATATACCTGCTATTACAGGGCTTTCAGCTATCACCTATTTTACTTTTATTATTCAGTGCAATGTGCAGAATACTACTCGATTCCTAAAATCAGCTTTAAATTGAATATAATACATTTATAATCATAACGTCACTTTTCAATAATATATACCTATTCAATAACCTACCAATCCTTTTAGCTTTTTTCCTATAGGTGTATTCTTTTTACATTGTATGCATATTAGTCTCCTCCCTTTGTTCTTTTCATTTCTTTTTATTGCATTGCTGGCACACAATGTACTTTTAAAAAATGTGTCATAACCTTTATTACATATGATATTTTATTCATATTTCTTAAAATATTATTTGAAGAATAATAGATGGACTTTAATGTTTAAAATTTAGAAATGAAAATAAAAAATCTTTCTCCAGCACACAACTATCCTGCTTCCCAAGGAGAATTATTTTTCAACATTTTTTGGTTGGGGCTCTCCTTATGTTTAGCTTGAAAATGCTACATAAGTGCTAATTCTAACATAATAGGTACCACACTTAATTTGTCTGGTTGAACACATTTTTAAAAATGAAATAGGTAAAAAATATTTTTATTTAACCTCCTGTATCTAAAATATTTCTCCTGTATCAAACAGAAAATTTATAAATATTTTAAATTCTTTTTATCTAGGCTATATTTCATATTTCTAGCATATTAATCCAGGATAACCACATTTAAAATGTCTGATGGCTGCAGTGACTAGTGGCTATCATATCCAACAGTGATGATCTAGAAAATATACTTATCAATCTACCTTGATATTTGTTAGTTTCAAACATGGAAATAAAGATTTAACACTTTTTTATTATCAATTCTATCTTACAAGTCTTGTTAGATTTGTATTTTTAACTTTCTCACTAGTCTTCTATTATTTTAAAGCTGTATCTAGTGTTTATTTCTTACATTTATGTTAAGCAGTATCCCTTGAATTCCAGCTTTATGAAAGTAGAAGCTAATATTGCTTTGATTTCTCTGCCTCTCTCACTATGCCTCCAAATTACTGTCAGCTCTACTTTTAAACTGGTAAGTTTATAACGTATATATTTTGTCCTATTACTGTGATAAATTATGTAGTTTTAGGTCCCTAGAATTGTAAAACTAGTAGACATTTAGAACCTGGGGTTTATAAATATTCCTTGTAGGGCTGTGGATGTGGCACAGTGATAGAACCTTTGCCTTGTATGCATTAGGACCCGGTTTGATCCCCAGCACTACAAAAAATTAAAGTCAAGCAGCATAGTTGAACATTTGGAATTATAATTCTGTACTCTCTATTTCTACTACTTGAAGAAGAAAGATTCTAAATATTAAAGTGAATACTCATTTCTCATTTTCCATCAATTTTTCAGAATTATGCTTCAGTTTAGTTTGTTTAACTTGAGGACCCTGACTTACTCAACTTTATGTTCTTCTTGTAATCTCCTTTTACTTTTCATTTATCTTGTTAACTAAGAAATATCCTGGCTATTTTTTCAGATTATTATGCTTTTTAATCATACCACTAATATAGGAGAGTCACTGCTCTCTTACAGACTATTTCAGATAGTTCTCTAACCTCCTTTTCTAATTTGAATTTATTGCCTTTGGTATGTACTGCTGAACTGACATTCTGGGATTTCATTTCATTACCATATTGGTCAAATTTACAATTTCTTACATGCCAACTGTTCCTCTTTTAATAGGGAAGATGCTTTATTGAATTCTACTTTCTCATAATTTAAAGAAAAGAAAAAATACATGTAAAAGAAGTTAAACATTTTGAATCTTTGCATGTTCAAAAACGTATGTTCTCACTTAATCCTTCACACTGGATTAGTAAAATTTAATTTCCCAAGAAACCTCCAATTCCACAGTAGCCTTCTGTATTATAAATACACATTAGTATGGTTCTAGCCCTTGGAAATTATAATCCAAATGAATCAGTTACACAGTTAGTGGTAAAAAGAGTCCTTGGACTTCTGTCCCATTAGAGGATTTATGATGAAGCAATAATGCATACTTCACCTTTGGTCACTGTTTTGGACTAGTGGGGAAATTGAAAGTTTCATTATACTAGATTTTTCCGTAGATACTTGGAGGAATTACAGCACACTTTAACATGTTTGGAAATGTTCCCCCTTCCTGCCCACACTTTTTAAAGGCACAATTGCATAGTTACTGCCTTTGGGATTTTTAAAATACATTGTGTGAACAAGGAGAAATGCAGAATGCTAGCAACGCTGATCATTTTTGTTGTGGATCTCATGCTTGCATCAGCTGTTGTGATTACCTTATATTCTGTTTGCCTAATAGCAGCCACCAGTATTTTTATCTCAGTCATTTTTTATATTTACAAAAGAGAGATGAAAATAAATTGTGACTTCAACCAAGATAGGACTCGAGCAATGCTGGATTCTACCCATGCTACTGGGGAGATGCCTGCCGACCACGTGGAGCAGGTCAGCTGCAGGCTGCTTCCTGGCCATTTTGCAGCTGTGCAAGAAAAGGCCTTTCTGTGCAAGGAGAGCAATGCTGTCTTCTACCCCAGAAGGAGCCCAGCACAGTGGAAGAACCACAGAAGAAGGCTTGGCATATCCCATCCACAACCAACCAACAGTTCTTTCTTCAGGTGAGCTTGTCAGATCTTCAGATCTGAGATAATGTAAGTAACATGGATTTTTGAGCTAATAGGAGAAAGGCAATTATATCTCTGCCTTCCATTTTTTCAAAAACGATGTTGGCTGCCTCTGTAGGTACTGCAGTTTCTGTATTCAGCTTAGAGTCTTATTTATTCAAAAACTAGAGAATTCTGCCTGTGTTATTTTCTCTCTCAAGATCAATCAGACAAAGGGGAAAAAAAAGAAAAGAAATTTCTATTTTAGTTTTCTTTAGCAATTTGGCTAAACAGTTTGGAAGGGGAAAAAGTTTGAGAAAATGGGTATTTTGGCCATTTATGATTTTTCTTTTTTTGACTCCAGTGGCAATGAAAATCAGTAGTCATTCTCAAGTAGATAGTATATTTCAGAATGGTCTTGGAACTAAAATCATTTTTGAGCGTGTGAATGTTTAGAACACAGATCTACGCTCTCTTTAGTTTGGTGTGTATACACACAGTTCATCGCAAACAGAACATTAGTGTTGTCTATTGACAAAAACTGGATTGTTTGGTGTTAGTTGGTTCTCTATTCTATTCACAACATTGGTTCAGCGGAAATAAATAGGTTTTTCTAGTTACATGGTTAGCCCACATGAATTTGTGTGAAATAAATATCTCTATGCTTTATTATATGTGCATAGATTTTTGGTCGCAAATGTCTACAGTTAATTGATTCAATTTTATCAGTTGTGACTACATCTTAAATCAAGTTGCAGTTGTTATAATTTCATTCACTGTTAAATCTTTTACATTCTTGTAATTTTAATATTTTTAAGATCTTACTTCCCCCCAAAATTGAAAAAAATTAAAAATTTTAGCCTCCATGTAACATTTAAATAAACTCATCAAAAATAGTAAAACTATGACCAGTAGGAAAAAAGTAATCATTTAGCCCCACAGACAATAAATGTTTAAATTTTTAGAAAACCATGAATCAAGTTCAGTAAAGGAATACCCATGTTTCAGTCACAGTATGCATTGAAAAGTACAGTAGCTCCTTCATGGGAAAAAAATGGTTAACCGATATCTACTTAACAAGAAATAGAAAATTTAAAAATTCTCTTTGTTACATAACTGCAGAATATGGCATATATTGCTAAATATGTCTTAAATTAGTGCCTTCAATCGCTGGTTTTCAGTTACAGAAGTAGTACATTATCAAATGGCTTTTATTCTAAAAAAAAAAATTGGCTATTACAGATATCATTGAAGAAATACAGAGACTCTTTCCTATTTGTCTTTCAATCTTGCCATTAATTCAGTCCACATTGTATCTAAAGGGCCCAGAGAGCTGAGAAACAGCTATGGTAAATTTTGTTTCCAAGGGAGCAGAAGAATAAATCCTGAATGGGAAGAACTGCCTGAGGTCAGACATCCTAGCAAAAGAACTAAGGGGCATGGAAGAATAAGGAAGAAAAATATGTATGAGAGTGAAGAGTGACAATATCTGAGCTCTGGACCTGATTACACTGAAGGGTTCCAAGCCAAACATTTACACTGACAGTGCAGAAGCTCTTGGATACCTAAAACAAGGCATGCTCAATTGTGCTAACATTCATAGGTAATGGGTTCTGGGTGTACCCTGATGACGTGTCCTAGTATGATCTTTGCCATTTGTTCCATAGTTCTCTTGTCTTCTATCTGTTCCTAAAATAAAGAATTAAAGTCATGGTATGAGTCTGATAAAATATGATAATGAAAATGTATTACAATTCAAATTCCTTTTGAAGTGAATCCCCAATCTTCACCATACTCCTGTTTGATGCATATAGTCACCACGTCGGCTGTGTCTAAGTTTGTCCCACCTTTCTAGTTCCTTCAGCTCTACTTGAGGTCCTTTTTGCACCTAAAGCTGTGATGGTCCCTTAGCCTCTATGTGTACTCCAGAAACTTACATTTATTTCTGTTAAATTCTAAACTCACTTAGCCAAGGAATCGTATCTATGACACCTTATTTATCACAAACACTTTTAGTTGTATTTTATGTATGATCACAGCAGAGTTTTAAATACAAAATGACCTAGAGAATCATTTGGTACATGTTTCATCCTATTAAGATATCTCATCTGTAATATCCCTGAAAGATGGCCATCTATCCACTTAAGTATTTTGTATGAGACATAGTTTTATTTTTTATCTCACAAGGCAGCCTGTTGTTCAGAAGTGCTTTATAGTATTATCCAATGGAAATTTGAGTCTTTAAAACTTCCATCTCTTTGTCCTAGTTTTGCTAAGTAATCCAGAATATAGTTAAGTATTCCAGAATATAACTGACCAAGTATAATGATTTCATTGGTTTTATAAACTTTTAGAAAGACATACTTTTCTCCTTATAAATTTTCTACTACCTATTCAAATCATTCATCAAAGTTTCACTCTTTCAGTATAAATAAGATCCATTTAAAATCATAATAGTAAGATAAATCTGTAGTTTATTGTGTACTTTAATAAAAGAATCTTAATTTCCCTTTGTGACTTTTTGTACGCATTTGTTATACATGGGGAATTTTGAAATTCATTCTTTTAAAGCTTCCTCAAGACTGGGAGCATTGCCAATTTGCATCAAAGAGCAAAATTCTATTAGTGCATTCATAACTATTAAAAAGTAATTCTAATGCACTGACCCCGTTTCATCTCACATCAAAAATTTAATTTAATCCCAATGACTCTCATAGATGACCATAATTTCCCAGCGAATGATGTTAGTTGAAAGTTTGGATGAATCTGAACAATTTAGAAAACTGTTAATATAAATTTTTGTGAATATTGTATTATTCAGCAATACTCGTAGTAGTAGCCTATGTTAATCTGTACAGAACACAACTCATTTTATTTGAGAAAGCTGAGAGTGGGGAAATTTGGGGAAGGGTTCAACCATCCCATTCTGGTGGCAGTGATCTCAGCTAAAAGAGAAGTAGGGCTGGGGACAGGCAGTCCCTGGGTCTGGCGTCAGGGAGTCCTATTAGAATCTGGATGATCCCACTTACTGGCAGGTTAGTTGTGTCAACTTGTTGCCCTCTTAGGCCTTCATTTTTGCGTCTGAAAAAGAGGGCACATGAAACCAATGACTTCAGCTCTTGAAAGTTTAAGATGCTGCAAGTTTTAACAAGCACAGTGAGATTAAAAATATGTTCCGGCAAGAAGGCGACTAACCCCAGGGGTTCTCTCAGCGTCCTACAGTGCAGTGTGATAATGCCAGGAGATGCATGAGATACGGGAGCCCTAGAGGCACCAGGGGTCAATTTTCATGAGAATTATAGAATTAAGGAGGATCTCTTGAAAGAAATTTTCTTGGTGAACCAACATTTATCCCAGTGTTTCCCTGGCAACTAAATTGTGATGATCAAATTACACAATTAAAGTGTTCAAAATTAAAATGTGACACATCCTCACTGTCCAGACTGCTAAGCTCATGTAGTCTTACTCAGTGAACAGGGACAGCATCTTCCTGTACTCAGTAATGATCACTTAAATTACTTTTCCTTTAGGAACTTAATTTGTGCACCCGTACAGTAAATAAACAGTGTAACCAACAGCAATAGGCACTCTTGGGCTATTATTTTATTATTGTAAGGTATACTGAGAAACTGCTCTTTGTTACAGCACTAGGCAGCTTGGCATAAGAAAGACACATAATACTTAGACATTGACTTCAAAAGAGTTCATACGATGTTTCAATTTGAAAGGATCCACGAACTAGAGATGAATTAGAAACCTCAAGCAAAGTAATCAGCTGGTTAATAAAATGTAGCATGTTTTAAAAATAAAATTGTACGTTTTTAAAAATCAAATTTTCAATAAAACCTCAGAGTTTTCCAGCTTTAATTTTACTCATTTTTAATATCCTGAATGAGAAAATTAATTCAGGCTATCTATAGACTTACATTGCAAATTGTGTTTTACACCTTAGAGGACATATTTTGCTCAAATAAAATGGATGGTCTGGGAATGATTTCTTGGTTATGACACTAAAAGCACAGGAAAAAAGTTAAAATATGGAAATTGGACTACCTTAAAATTAAAAATTTCTATATATCAAAGATAATATAGTGAGAAGGCACCCTGCCATATAGATCTGACAGAGGCTTGTATCCCAAATGTGTAACTTGTTCAACACACCACTACCAACAGCAACAACAAAAACTGACTAAAAAATTGGCAAAGGACTTGAATAGGCATTTCTCCAAAGAAGATACACAAATGACCACTACACATGAAAAAAGATACTTAATATCTGTAACCGTTAGTGAAATGCAAATCAAAATTACAATGAAATATCACTTCATAACCATTCGTGTGTCTACACTTTATCAACACTTGTTATCAAAATAACAAGTGTTGACAAAGATGTGGGAAAGTGTAGCACTTGTGAACTATTAGTGGGAATGTGTGAAATGTGATAAAAATGATGAATATTTACATTTTAAAGATTATAGTGAAAGACAAATTGCCATTAATTCCCCTCAAAATATGCCTTCTCACTTTGAACACACTTACCCCATGTCTGGAGCAGTTCTGGAAGTCTTCTTTCCTGATTTTAGTTGTACTGTTGTGCCTATATGTCTTGAATAGATGCAAAACATTTTCTTTTCATGGTCCTTGTGACTTTGGGAAAGATCCAGAAGTCGCACAGTATCAGATCTGGTAAGTAAAGCAAATGAGGTCACACTGCGATATCCTTGACAGAAATTGCCTTAAACATTTGAATCAATTTAATATCGAGGTCATTAAAGAGGACTTCCAGAAGTATTTAAGAAAGTGGCCAGAGAAAAGGGATAACTGTGTTCAAAATGAGAACTATTTTGAAGGGGATTAATGGCAATGTGTTTATTAATGTCATACTTTTTAAAAATTTTATTTAAATGTTTACCACATTTTGTGGTTATACCCTTAACACATTGTAAAGCAGCTACTACGGAAAGCAGTATGATGGTGCTATGGTTTAGGTATAGAGTATTCCCTAAATTGCCATGTGTTCAAATTTGGGACTTTTGAAAGGTGACTGGACCATGGAAGAACTGAACTCATCAGTGGTTCACCCATTATTGAGTTCAGCAGTGCGTGTGCTATTAGTAGGCGGGGCCTGGCCTGAGGTAGGTCACCGTGGTTGTGACCCAGAAGGGTGTAGGCCTCTCTCCCTCTCCTCCCTTTGCTCTCTACTTCTGGCTGCCTTGGTGTGAGCAGATTTCCTTGTGGAAGGTCCTTCTACCATGCTGTTCCTGAATTTGAGTTTGCCAGCTATGGACTGAAGCTTCTGAAACTGTGAGGCAAAGTAAACTTCGTCTAAGTTGTGGGTGTTGGTTATTGTGTGCCAGTGATGAGGAAAGTGGCTAAGACAAACAGTTCTTCATGAATTTGAAAGTACAACTACCACAGGATCCAATAATTCTACTTCTCAGTATATACCAAAAGTAATCTAAAGCAGGGTTTTGGAAAGACATTTGTTCACACGCTTATAGAACCAGTCTTCAAAATAAGCCAGTGTTAGAAATGTCTGTGCACAGATGTATGGACAAACAAAATTGGTGCATGCACTCATTGGAACATGATTTCGCCTTAAAAAGAAATTTTATTCATAGATGAATCTTGAGGGTAATAAAGAAATTTTGATATGTAGAATAAGCCAGTCATAAGTGACAAATATTTCTATGTCCCTGACTTATGTGAAGTACTCAGAATTGTCAAAATCATAGAGACAAAAAGTAGGATTATGGTTTTAGGGATAGGAGCTAGTTAATACAGTGGTTTAGTTGCTCATGATAAAGAGTTCTGAAAATGGATGGTGTGATGATAGTATGACAACAAAAATGTATGTAGCAGTGCCACTGAACTGTACACCTAAAATAATTAAGGTAGTAATTTTATATCAAATGTATTTGCATACAAATAAAACAATAATAAAGAAAAGAATGTAGATGAATTATAATCCTGGAAAATTTGACTTTTTTTATTAACATACAGAGCTTGTAAAGTAGACTCTTCTTTCTCTTTTTGAGGAGCTGACTGTAACAGCTAGGCTGTGATATGAGATAATATAGATGAGGGATTTTGTGTAGGGAAATTTTCCAGGCTGAATTTTCAAAAAGCACATAAAATTTATATGCCCAGTCTCAACATTGGATGCACAGTAAAATTACACAGACAGTCACTCACTCTTTGGTTTAGAGTGAAGTCCTGGTATTTGAAAATAACCTAGATGATTGCAATGTACAGGCAAAAATGGAAGACTTCCCATCACTAAATTGTCCTTGTTGAATTGTGATCTTTGGTCTGTTCCTGGTAGTTATAACCATATAAGAATTTCATATTATCCTAGAAAATCCTACAAATTGCAATAGGCACAGAGGAAGATTTAAAACCACTTATAACAGATTCATTAGCACATTTTCTACGTTTTCTTTCAAGATTTAATGGAATAAGTCAAAAATTCACTTGATGTCCCAAAGCAGTCATTTTTTAAAAAGAAAGCTATTTAGATACTTTTAAGGAAACACAGCAATAAACTTATGGCTTCATCTGAAGACTTTCATCCAAAGAACCAAATAGAACAGGAAACAATTTCAGAATATTTATAACTGTGATTGCTTTTCTGGAAGACTCCTCCACTAGGTATCCCCATATTCCCAGAGATTTTAATTCACCACTTCCCATGAGCATGAAGCTATCATGCTTTAAATGTTCAACCCTGACTTCTTTACATAGCCTCACTCACCCTTCAAATTTCCTCATGCAATTTCCAAGCATTAGTGCCAAACTGAAATCATGATTTTCTTTTATTATGAGAGTTATAGAAATAAATTCCACTTGATGTCTTTGACCATGGTCTGTAGGTTGCTCCCAGAATATTAGCAGAACATAATAAGCATACTTGTTTTTATGCTTATGGACTTATAACTCTGAGTATACTGAAATAAAGTGAATATCTTAATCTAGTATCCTTAGCATTTTGCATACTGTCCTTCCAGGCTCACTACCAAGAATTTCACTGTTTTGCTGTGATTCAGTTGGTTTAGGCTGGACATGGTAAATCTGGGCTTTAAGCTGCAGGTTGGACCCATATATGGTCCACAAATCCTTCACTTCTTTGGATTGGCTGCTACTTGAGCTCTTAGTAATGTATTGCTGGAGGACAGGAAGAAGAGAGGGGCATGTGTGTTGATTCTTAAAATGTGGGCTTAGATTTGGTGTATTATATTTTGAGTCACATTTCATTGGCTAAAGAAAGTCATATGACTCAATTCAACAGAAGCATGGTGAAAAGGCTCCTCTGTCCTTGGAAGTCATGAGGCGGTGTGATGAATCTTTGGTGAATAAGAATTTAGTGTACACATAAGATATAGTAAGAAAATAAACTGTTTTATAATCAGTAATATTATCAGTATTATTATTTCTTAAGTGAAATAAAATACAGGCTTAACAGTGTTAGGGTGAATTTTAATATAGGATTTGAAATCCACATGCCTTATATTTTGAGGTGTTCTACGACTCCAATTAAAGAGATCAGTTCAAGGGAGTCAAGGGAGAGAAGTGTTTGGGGATTGAATAACTCCTTTCTGTGGCCATATCACAAAGCTAGAAATTGTCCTTTGAAGTCTTTCCTCCCCCTCCATCATCCCTGATGATGGCTAAATTCTCTCATGGGGCCAAATACCAGTGCTGTCATAATAGTCAAGAGCTATGAGGAAGGTAACATGCTCCGTCTACCACAGATTGACTGCAAATCTGGGCAAACTGTGTAACTCACAAGTCTACACTTCACTTAGGGAAACCTGCCTAGATCACTAGTAGGCTGATGTGTTGATTAAATTATATGTGAGAATACAATTCAAGATATTAATTAAAAATCATAATTTAACTTTAATTAGTAATCACAGGACACTAAAAGTAGAGTGCATTTTTAAATTTATGGATAAATGGCTAATATCACTTCTACATTAATTAACTTTCCTTAGACCACCAAACTGAGAAAGATTATAATAAACACAATCAATTGACTGTTTAAATTGTTTCAATAATTTGGGATGCCATAATTATTTCAAAATTTCCATTCCACAATACCACCAAATAGATATTAACCTCAAAGAAGGTATCTTACTGAAGCAAGTGACTTTTTTCTTCATTTTATGATATGTGGTGATTATCTCAATAAACAAACACATCAAGGTTTCTTAATAATCACTCGAATAGTACTGTTAGAGTAAGAAATACTCCAGTTCTCCATTTTGCTTTGTTAAGTGGTTTGCCAAATAAGAAGCAAGCAAATAACAAATGACTGTTATCTTGGAATTCTTTTTTAGTCTTAAGTTTTGATCCCTAGCAATTTTACTTGATAATATCTTTATGAAACAGTATTATTTCATGTAATTGCTTGACGTGACAATTTCAGAAGAACCAAATCACAGATATCTCTTTGAATAAGGTTCATGTTTATAAAGTTGCCATGCCAAATTTAAACAAATACATTAGGAAAATCTTTGTATTTCTAGAGTTTATGTTCTTTACAGCTAGATTTATTCAACTGGAGAGTGCTTATAGTATGACTGAGAAAAATAATGTAAACATAACTTTGATAGAATCTTGGTACTGTGTTTATAGGCTCACAAATTTCAGATATATAAGTTAATCTTTTGGAGAAAATAAGAAATTCATGAAAATGGTCATAAATATAGTAAGGCTTACCAGTAGCTATATAAATTCTATCACTTTTAAATTATGCTGTTGTTTTACAAATTCCTACAAATGTGAATAAATATGAATTTTCTCCAAACATATTTTTTTTCTTTTTTCTTTTTACTGGTACCGGGGATCGAACTCACGACTGCCTGCTTGCAAGGCAGGTGCTTATGCCGCTGAGCTAAATCCCCAGCCCCCAAACATATTTTTTTTAAGTCTGAAAAACATAGACTCTTGCAACGTTTATAAATTGCCATGTAAATATTTTTGATAATCCCAGAGTATAAAAGACAATCAAACTTTTCGACATGGCAATGCTGGCATGAGACAGGAGGCACAAATACAAAAGGGTGTAACTCCAAATACAAGTAGAACACCCCACCTCCTAGACACTGGGGAACACAGGCATTTTGGAAATCCGACTTTTTAAGATTTCAGATATTTGTACATACATACGAGATATCTTTGGGCTGAGACTTAAGTCTAAGCAAGAAATTGGATTACATTTCATATACACCTTATACATGTAGGCTGAAGTTAAGTTTATATATTATCTTTAATTGTGTGCACTAAACAACATTTCATGGTATAGAATGCCCTCTTGTGATATCGTTCAGGTTGGTGTTTTGGATTTTGGAGCATTTTGAATTTCGAATTTTCAGATCAGGGATCTTCACCCAAAGTGGAATGTGCATTGCCAAAGTGTTTCCATTTTTTAGTCTTTATGGTCTTTGCTATGTGACTTTATACTCAGCAGCGTTTCCCACCTCCTGGGTATGAAATGGCTGTTGCACTTGGTTGGACAAACAGGTGGTGTCAGAAATGAGGGCAAACTGGTTTTTAGCCTGAGTCTGGAACTTGTATTTCTACTTTCTCTTTTGGAGTCATATCAGCATCTTGGAAACAAGTCCCAAGCAGACTACTAGAAGATGAGGCCACATTTAAGTGCCTGAGGTTACCCTAGATCA